TGTATCTTTCCTGACCTGATGCCAGCTTCAATTCTTTCTCCTGTCAGAATCAAATCCGTAAACCCAGCGGAGGAGTTACCAACCAAATGATTGAAAAATGGACCAGACAAAGTCCCTAGAAACATATCAACCAACTCACGATCAGTCAATGGAGGCTGCACCCTGCCAGCCAAATCTCTCCATTTTTGTGCATATTCTTTGAACCCTTCGCCCGTTCCTAGAGACATACCCTGAAGTTGGGTACGCGTAGGAGCGAGATCAGAATTGTATTGATATTGCATGTAGAATGCGGTTGCCAAATCTTCCCAGTGTCGGATGCTAGTTCCATCTAGTTGGTAGAACCACTCAAGCTGTGACCCCGAAAGGCTATCTTGGAAGAAGTGAATCCAAAGGTTCTTATCTGCCATGTAAGGTTGGATCTTCCTAACGTACGACCTTAGATGCAGCTTTGGACAAGAAGCCCCGTCATATTTGGCAAAGGCAGGCGCCTTAAACTTGTGTGGGATTACTACCCCAGAAGATAACCCCAAATCTCCGAAATCCAGCCCCGGTACATTATGAATTTCCATGGCGCTCAAGCGGTCCTCTAATTGCTTGTATCTGTCAGCAGCAGGTGGGTATTGTTCGTCATTGTAGTCCGTCTCGTTGTCAGAGACTGCAGGACTATGAGCTCCTCCCCCTTGGGGACTGTCTTTCTCAGCAGAAGAAGTAGTTGGATCAGCTTCATTATGGAGTGTGTTCCCAAACCTGCGTCCGGTGTTGAATAACGCAATCCTCTTTTTCTTCTTCTTCTTCAGGAGTAGAGTCTTCAATTCTTGCTGACTTTGGGCCAGGCTCAGGACCATTTCTTGAAACTGGGCACTTTGGGCCTGAAGGGCCTTGATTGCTTGCTCACTGGATGAGTCTGGATTCATGATGACTGTTCAAATAAATAGCGAAGAAGATTAAGCAACCTGTGAAAAAGGGTACCTGCTATGCATATGGTGCAATGAGATGCGTATGTTTTATGTTTTCAAAGACAAACAAGATTCAACTTTGTAGACAAAAGGGAAACACACTTCATTAGATTCAAATTTTAAATTGTTCAACAACTTGCCCTTAGGCATTACAGGAATGAAAAATACTGAAAAGGAAATAAAAGCTGTAAAAGGAAATATCCAAAGCCCATCAGTGCTCCCATGGCCTCCTCTTCTCAGTGTGGATGTAGTTATTCAGGACCCTCTCTTCCTCCAATTGCTTAGTCAGCCTCTGGATCTTCCGTTCCTGCTCGTTGAAATTTTCCCGATAGAAATCTCGTTCTTCCTTTAGCTGCGCCCAAGATCTCTTCATTGTGTCAAAATCAGTGGGTATCTGAGGAGGGAGGACAGTTGGAGGAACCACATCTTCATCAGGAGATTCAAGAATGATAGGTCTGACAGCTTCGTACGGCATACCTAACTTCTGAGCACGGATGCGAACCCATTTGCAATAGGGTTCCATTGGTAGAGAGGTCTTTGGTCCCAACTCATGTGGGTCAGCTTTGTGAATTCTGTCCCAAGCCCTAATGAATCCATGGCGTAGTTTGTCACTGTCTACCTAAAACTCAAAATGGAAGTGAGGAACCAACATTTCATGAGGCCCAACTCTTCTGGCTCTTCCAAACTGGCGGAGAGCTAAACATGGATTATAAGAGATCCCTCCTTGGATACCAATCAATGGAACATTAGGGTATTCTCCGCAACAATCAATAACAGCTACCTCATCCAAACCTCTGAGAGTCCAAGTGATGTCATTATCAGTGAGAGACATTAGCCTACGAGCCCAACCCTTTCCTTCTTCATTCTTCAGCACGAACTTAGGAAGGTGCGAAATAAACCACCTCACTAGCAAAGGAGCACAACACCACGGAGTTCCCCGTTTTCGGGCAGTACGAGCATAGAGTTGTTGCAGGATATCACCCAAAAGAGTGGGTACAGGATTCCGAGACATGAAAATCCTTATGGCATAGATACTGATGAAGGTGTCAGGATTGGGGAACAATACCAGACCATAGATTAAAACACTACAAGAAAATTAGTGTTTAACGACACAAAAATTGCGACAGTTATGTGATAACTGTCGTAATTGACATATAGAGACAGTGTTTACGACAGTTGACACCAACCGTCCCTAATATTTATTTTGCGACGGTATATTTAACCATCATAATATTATTATTACGACGGTAAAACAACCGTCGGCCCCCATTTAACACTTTTAACATTGATTTTTCACCAACAACTAGTCACGACGGTAAAATTAACCGTCCTAAAAGGCATATCACGACGGTAAAGCACCCGTCGCACCCTTAAACCTTTCACGACGGTAAAATTATCCGTCCTAAAATTCATTTCACGACGGTAAAACAACCGTCGCACCCAAAACCTTTAAAAATTCTCATGGGCACGACGGTAAAACACCTGTCGCGGTAAAACAATTTTTTTTTGAGATTTATATAAATTTGATTTTATATCCATCATTAACACATTCAAATATAACATGAAATTAAAATTTAGATTTACAAATTATGAACCCTAAAATATATTATCCAATGTCTAGTACTAAAAAAGATCTTAGAACTAAAAGAAATTAAAAAATTGAAAATTTATGAGTTCATTATTCTTCACTTTTATTTCTTTTCGAGATTAAAAATATTCCACAAAAATGCATTTGCACAAAGTTGAATGAAAAAATGATTCTCATTATAATAGAAATGAATTAATTATAATGATTTATAGTGCAAACTCAAACCCGTTCTTCTTCACACCGAAAGAAACCCGGAATCTCTTCAAATCGCTCATCTTCACACCAAAAAACGCACAGCAATGGAAACTACATCCTCTGCGTTCATCTCTTCAAACACAGTAAGTTTTATGTATCACTTTTTGCATTGTTCTCATCTCTCTCATTCTCTGCCATTGATTTCAGCATTGGAGATTCACTTGAATCTTATGGTTGAGCTCTTTGTGATGATTGATTTTGAGTTTGAATATATTGAATTGATGTTAGGTTTTCTAATTTGTTATTTTAGGGTTTTATTTCTTTTTATGATTTTTTAGGTTTTCTAATTTGTTGTTTTAGGCATAAAACTGATATAAGAGGACCATATACTGATCCAAATGGGATAGTAGTCGTTTTGCAATTGTAATAATAATATTGATATATCAGTCACTCCCCTTGTTAAGTTTCCTGGCTTTAGGACAGTATTTCGAAGGCACCAGGACCAGAATGAGGTTAAGAGGATTCCTAAAGAGGAGATGTTCCGATTCTCTCATCAGGCACCGTTTTTTTATTACGACTTCCCGTTATTAAATGATGTAGAACTGGAATAATAGTACTACTAATAAGAAGAAATATCTATAAGGATCTTTCACGACATTGTTCAGGACTCCATCTAGAGATTGTGCGCTCTTCAACAGCATAGTTTTCCAAATATAACGGAGACCCGTCACTGTGACCATTTTTGTTAACATACAAAACTAGTAAGGTTTTTGCAACACTTCCAAGAAGTCGAGTAGTGCATTGAACATCAGACCATACTCTCAATCTTCCATTTACATCATCATCATCATTATCCTGTGATCGAACAAGTACACCATACTCAGAATGGACCCGTGCAGGATGATGACGATAGACAATGAAGTCTACACCATACTGAGCCCCTGACCTTACAACCCAGTTTTTCATTCGAAGGTGAGAATAAGCCTTGTAGTAAAAAGAGAATGCTTGTTTCTTGGAGTTGAAGCAATGCCACAACTCTTCATCATTCAAGGGACTAGTATCAGCACCACGATTAATCTTGAGGCATTTCAAGGAATAACATAGGTAGAATGCTTCCTCCAATGTTAATTGAAACCAGTACATGTCTTTTGCAACGTTTCTCACAGGTTGACCAAAGTATGCTTTATCAAGCAGGTCAAGTTGTTCAGCTTGCACTGCTATGTGGACAGAACTATCAGAGAGAGATCCACAAGCATTTGATTAAACTAAAGAAGACTGAAGTTGCGATACAATCTTTGACATGGGTTCTTTAAGTGCCTCAGCCTCTGCATCCTTTTTCGATTTTGCATCTTTTCCTTTCCATCTTGGTGCCATTTGACCTGATTGGTTCAACGTTCCACTACCTTGGACGGAGTTTCAAAGATATGCAAAGATGATATTCTACACTTGATATTCTTCGTCAGCTGCAAGTTTTCTTCTCGACTCCCTTTGTCTTCTGTTTTCTGAGTTGCAGGATCATGTCAACATAAATGATTCTTCAACTTGTGATGTTATCCGGAACAAATTGGTGCCTCATAAGGTGTTATTACTTGCATGGATCATGTCAACATAAATGATTCTTCAACTTGTGATGTTATCTGGAACAAATTGGTGCCTCATAAGGTGTTCTTACTTGCATGGAGGCTATTTAATAATAAAGATTCAGATGTGGAATTACTCAATTGAAATCCAATTTGTGTGCCAAATTGTGATGATATTCAAACTTTTCAATATTAATTTTATAAGAATTTTAGTGCAACAGTTAAACATAGCTTTTCCTAATGATGCATTCTGTTTTATTCACGTGTATAAAAAGTTTATAGTTTGATGCATCTTAATATAACATACCTGTCTAGATTTTAACTCCCTTGCAACCCCTGCTGTTATTGCAGAGGTGAAATATTCCGCTGCTTCTTTGGCTGCTCAAAGTCTATTGCTAAGGTGAGAATTTCATTTTCAGTGTTTATATGAGATGGCATGCAACAGATACTAACAATGATGGAATGTTGAGGCATCCTAGAGATTCAGAAGCTTGGAAGAAATTTGACTTGACACATACTTGGTTTTCATCAGATCCACGGAATGTGCGTCTTGCATTGGCTAGTGATGGTTTTAATCCTTTTGGTGTGATGAGTACAAACAATAGTATTTGGCCAGTTGTTCTCATACCATATAACACTCCTCCATGGGTTTGCATGAAGAAGACATCATTTATAATGTCAATGATAATTCCCGGTAAAGAGGCACCAGGAAATAATATTGATGTCTACTTACAACCATTAATCAAAGACCTGAAGGAGTTATGGACAAGTGGTGTGGATACATACGATTCTTTCAAGAAAGAGATGTTCAAGTTGCATGCAAATTTGATGTGGACTATTAGTGACTTTCCAGGGTTGGGTTCACTTTCTGGGTGGAACACATACACAGGACTTGCTTGCCCATCGTGTAACTTTCAAACTACACCTCTCCGTCTTAAAGCTAGTCGTAAATGGTGTTTTATGGGTCATCGTCGTTTCCTTGATCAGAGACACAGGTTTAGATTGAACAAGATCCGCTTTAATGGTGAACAAGAAATGCGGAGTCCACCGAGAACATTATCTGGACATGAAGTTTTTGAAAAGGTTAAAGATGTTGAAGTCATCTTTGGTAAAAAGGCAGTGAAAGAAAAATCAGTAAAAAGAACACGTGAGGAACAACCTATAGAAGGTGATAGTACACAATGTGATCCTACAAAAGGTCATCCTCAACAATGGAAAAAGAAAAGCATATTTTTTGAACTTCCGTATTGGAAAGATAATCTTCTACGCCATAATCTTGATCCGATGCATATTGAGAAAAATGTGTGCGATAATGTCCTATTTACTCTACTGAATGATAGGCAAAAGAGTAAAGACCATTATAAAGCTCGAGAAGACCTTCAAAATATGGGCATAAGACCTGATCTTTGGCCTGATGAAAATGGTAAAATTTCTCCGGCTGCCTTTAGTTTAACAGGTAAAAATAAAAGGAATTTTTAATGACTTTAAAGAATATTAGGGTGCCTGATGGTTATTCAAGCAACATTTCTAGATGCATTGACTTAGTAAATCTCAAGGTGAATGGAATGATGAAGAGTCATGATTGTCATATATTAATGGAACAACTTTTACCATTAGCCATTCGCACAACATTACCTTATGAGGTTTCAGCAGTATTGATTGAGTTGTGCTCATTCTTTAGACAATTATGTGCCAAGGTATTGAAAATTGAAGACATGGAAAAATTGCAAAACCAAATTGTCCTCACTTTATGCCATATGGAAATGTTATTTCCTCCCTCGTTCTTCACGGTTATGGTCCACTTGGTTGTTCACCTTGTTGAAGAAGTTAAACTTGGAGGTCCTGTTCATTATCGATGGATGTATCCTGTTGAAAGGTAAACTATGTGATTTTGTTCTAATGTTACTAACTTAATTAGAAAGTAGAAAGTTTTTTTAACTAGTGTTATTGTGGTTCAATGATAGGTACTTGGGAAAACTTAAATCGTATGTACGTAATAAGGCAAATCCAGAAGGGTCTATTGCAGAAGGATACCGTTTTGAAGAGATTCTTACATTTTGTTCAAGATATCTAGAAAATATTGAGACTAGATGGAATCAACCTGGACGTGTAGATGACGACCCTATTGATGATATCCAAACTGCTTCACGTGTAGCTGAATTATTTCCTAGAGTTGGAAAACCTGTGGGTGGATCTTCTTATTACACCCTAACACCAACTGAAAAATTGCAGGCTCATAGACACGTTTTAACAAACTGTCCAATAGTTGACGACTATCTAAAGTATGTAGTTTTATTACATTTAAGTAGTTTCATCTATACTATTAATATTTTTTTACATCTAATATCGAATAATCAAATAGGCAGTTCCGAAGTTTTACTCAAAACCAAATGAGGCGCAGTCAAAGAAGTGCTACTGAGATAGACAAGAAGGTTCATAAGGAGTTTGTGCATTGGTTCAGCAATCGTGTGAGTTTTCATACAAAAATAGATGTTTTATTGAATTGGTTTTTAATAATAACAAGACTAATTGAATGTTGTATCATGTATAGATTCGCAACAATCTTGACAACATTCATGGGCCAGATAAAGATGTTCTCATTAGTCTTGCTCATGGACCTTTTGATAAAGTTAAAAGATTTACCGCGTTCAATGTCAATGGATTCAAGTTTCGAACGTTGGAACGAGACAATCTTTTAAAAACTCAAAATAGTGGAGTTTTTGGCATGTTTGGGACACGAAGTTATTCAAGCAATAATGATACCCAAATGAGATTTGGAGGGGTCCCTTACTATGGAAGATTAATAGATATTATTGTGCTTTCCTATGATGGCTTCACAGTGCCCATGTTTAAATGTGAATGGGCTAATACCATAAACCCAAGAGGAATTAAGATAGATAAGTTGGGTTTTACCTCTATAAACTTTGCAAGACTACTACATACTAGTGAACATGAAGATAATGAGCCATATATTCAAGCATCTGAAGCTCATATGGTTTTTTATGTAGATGATGAGAGTGAACAAGGATGGAGCATACCTGTTCATTTGAAGCCAAGAGACTTGTATGACATGGGTGGAAATGATGAAATTATGACACCCATTGAGCCATATCCATCACAAATTTTGGAACAAATCTTTTCAAATGATGATCTTGGAACTTCAGCGACAAATGATGACAATAGTTAACATATAGTTTTTTATTGATAAGAATCTAGTTTGTTTGTAACTTGTGTGAGACTTAATGTATGATATTCCATTGTTACTCTATGTTCTTTGTTGCTTATCCCTAATTAATATGTTAGATGACATTGTTACTCTATGTTTTTAATTTATTGTGTTTATGTTATGTTTATTAAATTTGTATTCACTAATATATAATTTTGATGTTTACTACTTTTAGTGTACTTAATACCTATACTTGCAGTTGAAGCCTTTTGTGAGACAATGACTACACCATATGAGAATAGTCGCCTCAAAAGAATTGCAGAGAATAAGAAAAAGTTAGCGGCTCTCAATCTTCCTACACTCTCTAAATCCCTTCACAAATCATCAGAGTCTTCTTCCAAACCATCACTGGTCAGTCATAAATTCTTTATACTACTCCATACAAATTAATTGTACTTATTATTTACTAATATTCACTAATGTATTTTATTTAGTCTGTGAAGGGCCGTTCAAGGTTTGTACAACCTGGAGAGCTTGAAGTAAATAAGAAGCGCCTACGTTCAATTACAACTCGCAAATCATCAATAACCCCTCCACCAATGGAAACTACAATAACCCCTCCACCAATGGAAACTACAATAACCCCTCCGTCAATCCAAATTGCAAAAGATGTTGTGGTAGAAGATGAGGATGAAGATGACATGGTAGGAGATGAGGCTGATGATGTTGTGGTAGGAGATGGGACTGGAGATGTTGTATTAGGAGATGAGGCTGAAGATGTTGTGGTAGGAGATGAGGCTGAAGATGTTGTGGTAGGAGATGGGACTGGAGATGTTGTGGTAGGAGATGAGGCTGAAGATGTTGTGGTAGGAGATGGGACTGGAGATGTTGTTAAAGTGGCTAAATCTGAGTATTGGGATGTAAATATCATTAGTAAGTAATTTAAGGTTAAAGTATCTATAAATAATTTAAATTTTTTACATAGTTGAGTTATGAAATTAATTTGTTTACTTTTTTAATGTGATAGACGAGGAAGGTTATGTTTCAAACACACGTTTATGTGTGAAAGACTTGGTTGCGAAATCAGAGCCTGATGGAACATGGATAATACTTGAATTCAATAAGAATAATTGTGCAGTAGGACCGGCTTCTGGTTTGCTAGCAGGATATTTGGGTATAATTATTAGAATGTTTAGAGATATTCCCATAATGTTTGAGAGTTGGAAGAATGTTCCAGCAGATACAAAAACAAAGTTTTATGAATCAAAGATAAAGGTATTATTAATAAACAATTACATATTTTTTAAATTAACTTCATGGTGATTATTATTTCCTTTGTCAACTAATATATTTTTATGTTTAGCGCCATTTTCTTGTGGATGATGGGCGTGACAAAGATTTTGTACTTGCTTCTGCTGCAAGGAAATGGAAGGATGCTCGACATACATTGTTTCACGAATTTTATAGATGGGATCTCCCTTTGGAGGAAAATCTTCAAAATTATCCAAAATGCAGAGGCATTCCTGAAAATGACTGGGCTGTTTATGTTCAATATAGGCGGAAAGAAAAAACACAGGTAACATTAGTGTTTTTATTTGTTAGATTTCTCTGGTTTGTATGTTATCCCTATCTATAATGCATGTTTTTATTTGTTACAAATGTAGAAAATATCCCAAAAAAATTCCCAAAATAGAGCAAAATTGAAGGCTCCGCATACACTCGGATCTAAGTCGCTTGCAAGGAAGAAACATGAGTTGGTATGTCTAAATCTATATGTTGTTGATCGTTTGCTTGATAGTACAAACAATTTATATTAGTTTTTATTTGCAGGAAATGAGAGATGGACGAACATACAGCAGAGGAGAAATGTATGCAGTTTCTCATAAAAAGCCTAACGGGTCATTTATCAATGAAGATGCATACAACAATAATGTAAGTACAAGTTAATTCTTTTGAAATACTGAAAAAAAAAACGGTAATAGTAATAGAACCATCCCAAATAAAACTCACCACTGGAATTTATATATATAATATGGAGAAAGAGCCCGATATATGCTTGGATTCCACTTGATGACATTGTATCATTGAACTAAATAAAAGCTTATAACTTATTTATGTTATTAACAATGAGATCATATATCATTGAACTCAAGTGAATACATATCAAAAGAAGAGAAAGGAACGTTTTATCAGTAGGAACGTTTCATCCAATATTAACATTTTGAACTCAAGTTAATATTAGTTTTTCATAAAATAATTAATATTTATTTGAATTTGATAATAAAATGTTATTAACTTACTTCCACATTTATCAGTAGGAACGTTTGGAACTTTACAAGCGTTTGCTACAAACAATGCTTTTTCCATGCTGATTGCATTTTCAATATCAGGAGTCACATTCTTACAGTAACATGAGACATTAATGCCTTCCAATGACGCACAACAAGCTTCTAAATCTGCTAATGGTGGATAGCAAGCTTTACTGTTATATTATTCTTGTTATATAAACAATAGCTCAATTTTTTCTTTTTCATGTGCAGAAAAAATTACAAGCTGCAATTAAGGATTCTGTGTCTGAAAATGAGGCATTTCAGAAAGTATTTGGAAAAGAAAAGCATGGATATGTTCGTAGTATGGGACTTGGAGTTACACCATCTCAAATTAATAGATCTAGGAGATCGACATCTTCTTCTGCAGAAAGTGAACAAATAAAGGAAATGCAAGAAGAAATTAATGCACTTAAAGAAAAGAATTCAAAAATTGATGAATTAACACAGGCAATCATATTCTTAACGCAAAGGGACAAGGCGAGGACAAAGGAAATTGAACTCTTAATGCAAATGCAGAATTTTAGTGGAAGACAGGTATATTATTTTGACGCATTTAAAGTTAAATTTTATGAGTATTATTTTAAAGATTATTATTTTAATACCTTTTTTTAGGGATTGGAATCACCCGCTGATGGTAGACGTTCATCTGAGTCTAGCTACCGTATTGGAGATAATGGAACTTTAGGGGGGACAAATTAGACTTTGCTATGATCGAGATAATTAGATTGTGAACTTTCTCATGTATTTTTGGAATAATGATACTTATTATTATAAGATTAGGAATTGATATATTTTGGGTTTTTTGTACTACTTGACATGATTATGGAACTCGCATTTTACATGATTATGGAACACACATTTTTTTGGATATTATAATGCTTATTTGATGTTAAATATTTTTTATTGAAATTATTTTTACTATATTACAAAGTGATAGAAAATAAAACAAAAAATAATACTATAAATAAATATATTAAAGAAGAAATAATTTAAGGAAAAAAATAACACAAAAAAAAACTATATTTAAAATTTTTTACATAGATAATAATTTAAATAAAAAATATATATAATAGAAAAATAAAAAAAAATCAAGACATAAACAAAAGTCATGGCGACAGTACCGAACCGTCGTAATCAACAATTAAAAATAATCAACAAAAGTCATGACGGTATCGAACCGTCGCCATAAACAATGTAATCAATTTCAAAAGATATTCACGACAGTATCGAACTGTCGCCATCAATAATTAAAAGAAACTCAAAAGATAGTCACGACGGTATCAACCCGTCGTAAAAACTAGAACGACAGTTTTTGTAACCGTCGCGAAATAGGTTGGGGACACACACTTCTGCGACGGTAAAGCAACCGTCGTGGAAAGCAAATTGCGACGGTTTTAACCGTCGTAATCTACAAAAATACCTGTCGCAATCTGCCAATTTTCTTGTAGTGAAAAAGCCAGGATGTCTTCGTACGCCTTGAAGTCCAAGTCATTCCAGAAATCATTAGCTTTGCCAACCAGAAATTTGACCAAAAAACCCTTAACTCCACTTCTAGTTTCCCAGTTAGCCAATACCTCTTCTTTGGTCAAGGGGAGAATTGCAGCAATCTCTTCAGGCCTAGGAGTCTTTTCCAAACCAGTGAATGGAGTTTGCTCCAAGACAGGGATACCAAGCAAATAGGAGAATTCTTCCAGGGTAGGGACCAGCTGGAAGTCTTGAAAGGTGAAGCAATGATACAGGGGGTCATAAAACTGGGTCAGAACACTTATCAGTTGTTGGTCCCATTTTGCAGTGATCAAGCCAAGGAGAGAACCATGCCTGTTGATGAAGGAAGAAGTGTTTGGAATCTTACCAACCAAATCCTTGAGCAAAGTTGGTGGTTGAACAAAGTTGAGCCGGACAGTATTCCTACGTACGGGCATCATGATGTCCTACAAAACAGAGCAAAGATGAAACTTTTTTGTCTTTGAAATGGGTTAGTCCTTTATACAGGATGCATGCAATGGTATGATGGCATGATGCTATGATGAAGCACACCACAAGTATTCACACAGGCAAACATGATAAGGCACACAAGTCACACAAGACAACCCTTAGGTTTCAGGCCAGCATGAAGTTTAGGTATTACCCTCTTTTAGTTTCGTTGGTTAAAACCTGTCCTATCAAAAGTAACCGGGTTCTAGAGGATCTCAAATCATTGACTACCCTCAATCGGTCATAACTCCAGCATCGCAATCTTTTCTTGCGGCCAGAACCATCGCGAGAGTTTAGCCTCAATGAGTGTAGCATACTGCTACTGTCCTAATGGCCAAGTTTGGTCAATTTAAGGTTCTAAGGTCGGTTGGTGTTTAATGACTCCTTAGAAGACCTATATTCTCCTCATTGCAACACAAGGGATATAGGTACAGACCAAGGTGCCACACCAACGTAGCCACTGCTTCACCCATGTCGGTCTACGCCGGACAGGTCCCTCACAGATTATGCTACCTAAAAAGGGTATTCCCCAGATCCGGGTTAGGATCTATGAAACTCCGACGCAAAGCCCACAAATATAAAAGCAAATAAAGCAAACAATTGAAAAGAAAGGTGATCTAAGCCCTAAGGTTACTCCACTTTTAAATTTGTCCCCAGCAGAGTCGCCAGTTCTGTGATACGGTGGGAGAACTGACTATGGTTTTGCGTTTGTTTTCGCAAATGTTTCGGTTGAGCAAGAGTCGCCACCGACTTTTTATTTTATCCTAAGGAAAGGTTAAAAAGCACAGCAAAAACCTTTTGAGATGTTTTCTTGGGTTCGGGGAGTAGATTATAGAAAGGGAAGGTATTAGCACCCTTTCTATCCATGTTTATCCATGGGCTCTTAGTCACTTGCTTAGATCAACTTGCCTTAATTTTCAATTGTTTGAAATGGTGCTTTGTGTGTGTGGGGTTGAAAATGTTTTGAAAAGAAGCCAATGTGGTGGCAACATTTGTAATGATCCATGTTGGGATGTATACAAAGATGTATGTCTTTTGAAAAGGTTTTCATTTGTTTTTGAAAGTTGTTTTGAAAGTGTTGTGAGGTGTGGTTTTAGAAAATAAGCAAGTGTTTTGTTTTGCAAGTTTGATTCAAGTAACTAAGAGGTTATCTACTCCTAAATTTCTCAAAGATTATTGCTATGTTTTAACTCTTTTAACAAGTTTGTTCCACCATTGTATTTGGTGGACAATCTCATTTTAGGATGTGAAAGGGACGGGTGCGGGTCATCGTTTTAGACCATAATTGCAATGGTGCCAAGTATCTTTGGGCAATTTTCCTTAAGGGACTTGATCATTTGTTTAGGCAACTTTTTGAAAGCGTCGTCGAGGGACTATGATCACTTGATTTGTTTGTTTTGCCCAAAGAGACCTAACATGCAATATGGCCCAATTTTGAAAGGCAACAAGTGGAATACCCTAGGGGGTGCAAGTGTGATTTGTGTGTCCATTTTCATGCTTGTTTATCTTGAAATTAGGTCAAACTATTTTTGTCGTTTTTTGATTCGCATACAAACCCTAATTCTAACATGGTATAATTAGAAAGCAATAAAGTGCGAAAAATAAATTTACTAAGCTATTACAACACCATATATGGG